CTCGCGCTATCCTTCTCGCACCGCCTTACGAACGTCGTATCATCCACGTGCATGCTTCGCGCTATCTCTCTCTCTCCCAAGTGCATGCAAACGTCATCCTTTTCCTACACGCGAACGCCTAGCGCCATCTCTCTCCAACGTGCATGCAAACGCTATCCTTGTCTTACGCTCATATGGACGCCTCGCGCTATCCTTCTCCCACGCCCATAGAATATCATTAGCGCTATCCTTCTCTTACACATTGCGGACGCCTCGCGCTATCTCTCTCACACCTACTAGCGGCATCGTATCTTCGCGTTCCCTCTTCCCCGCGGACCCTCGCCTATCGGTTTCGCCGCGGTTCCCCCTCTTCCCCGCGGACCTCACGCCTATCGGTTAGGACGCGGTCCCCCTTCCCCTCTCCGCGGACCCCTCGCCTACCGGTTAGGACGCGGTCGAACCCCTTGCCTATTGGTTAGATTAGGTTAGGTTGAACCCCTCGCCTATTGGTTAGGACGCGATTCCCGCGTGACGTTATACCCCCCCGCGCGTGACGTCATACCCCCCGCGCTGGTTTCCCCTCGCCCCTCACCCTTTTTCAGAGGACCTGGGTTAGAACCGGCCTAGCTATACTACTGATTTGGATTACTTTTTTTTTAATCCGTTTTAATCGACTATTTTCGGCAGGGCGTGGCCATATTACATATCCAGCTTTTATCCTCTTCTTTCCTACTGATTCCTACTTAAGTCACGCATGCGCAGGTGTTTACTTCTTATACGTAATACATTCTTTTTGGAATCAATTTTTTGGTACAGTATACAGTGCCTACCAAAAGTTCCGGACCACCTAAATAATTTTTGTATGGTTTGAAATATAGGATTGAAATTTATTGGGATACAATGGGATCACAAAGTCTATTATTTAACTACAAAAACACCCACCTCTACACCTGCGGGGGACGGGGGGAGCGGGGAGCCAAAAAATCTTAAATGGCATGTGGAGTTGAGTGAGGGCTCGTTCAAAAGGGCTTTCCGAGACGGTAACAATGCGAGGTCGCTGAGGTCTCTACGATCTTTTTTCGCTGAGTTATGATCATTTGAACATTTCTATTAATATTTTGCGATAGCGAGGGCCCACGGAGACAACAGAAGAAAGATAAGGCTTCACGCGGGCACGCGCGTTCCTGAGTGTGTGTGTGTGTGTGCGTGTGTGTGTGTGTGCGTGCGTGCGTGCATGCGTGCGTGTCCGGCCAACCAAGGCAAGACCGCTAGCGTGTCCTGCCAACTAAGGCAAGACCGGGATGGGAACGGGAGCGTCCCGTTTGACCACGTTGATATTAACCACGGCCCCGATTGACCACGTTAATATTGACCACGGTCCCGATTGACCACGTTGAGATTGACCACGTTGCGATTGACCACGTTGCGATTAACTACGTTGATATTGACCACAGTCCCGGTTGACCACAGTCCCGATTGACCACGTTGATATTTACCACGGTTCCGATTGACCACGGTCCCGATTGACCACGGTTCAAATTGACCATGGACTCGATTGACCACGTTAATATTGACCACGGCCCCGATTGACCACGTTAATATTGACCACGGTCCCGATTGACCACGTTGAGATTGACCACGTTGATATTGACCACGGTCCCGATTGACCACGTCCCGACTGACAACGTTAATATTGACCACGTTAATATTGACCACGTCAATATTGACCACGTTAATATTGACCACAGCCCCGATTGACCACGTTAATATTGACCACGTCAATATTGACCACGTTAATATTGACCACAGTCCCGATTGACCACAGTGGTCAATCGCAACGTGGTCAATCTCAACGTGGTCAATTATTAACGTGGTCAATATTAACGTGGTCAATTGGGACCGTGGTTAATATTAACGTGGTCAGTCGGGACCGTGGTCAATATCAGTGTGGTCAATCGGGACCGTGGTCAATCGGGACCGTGATCAATCGGGACCGTGGTCAATCGGAACTGTGGTTAATCTGGACAGTGGTCAATCGGGACCGTGGTCAATTTCAACGTGGTCAATATCAATGTGGTCAATCGCAACGTGGTCAATCTCAACGTGGTCAATCGGGACCGTGGTCAATCGGGACCGTGGTCAATATTAATGTGGTCAAACGGGTCCCACTCGATGGGAACACTAGTGTATGTGAAGGAATAAAAACACTATTTATTTTATCAAATGTTCAAATTGATGTCCTTCGACAACTTGGCAGTGTCCTAAGCGAATGTAAAACGTATTGATAACGTTAGTTAAAAAATTGGGTGTGATTGAATTTGAAACGTTCACTATTTTTCCCCGCAGCTTTTCTAAATTTTTGGACCTAATCTCATAGACCTTTGTTTTCAAATACCCCCAGTAAAATAAGTCTAATGGGGTCAGATCTGGTGATCTCGGTGGCCATTCTATTGTGCCTCTTCTACCAATCCATCGAGCTCCTGGACTAGATTTTGTAAGGATGATAGTGATGCTTCTTCAAAATTCGATGAACTGATGTGCTAATATCATTTTCTTGAGCTGCTCTCGAGACCGATGTATGGGGATTATCGTATACAGTTAGCAGAACATCTAAAGCTTTTTCGTCATTACTAGCATTTTTGGGTCTTCCAGATCTAGGCGCATCTTTAATTACACCGGTTCTTTGGAAATGACCAACAGTTCTTTCAACAGTTGACTTTGAAATCGGTTCACGGTCAGGATATGTAGCATTGAATAAATCCGCTATTTTTCGATAGGACCTTATTCTGTCGAAAATTCACAAGCGACCGCGTGAAATAATGAGTTTATAAGTGAGAACTCTCTGAGGAAACATCAACTACTGCATATCAACTACTGCATAGCACGTCGCCGGCATACGGGCATTGACATTTGAGTTCGAACCAAACAACTTTTAGTACATTTCTATTGTCAGAAAATGCATTTAACTGATATATTTTCACTGTATTGATGATGATAGTATGGCGACAGAATAAGGTCCTATCGAGAAGTAGCGGATTTATTTAATGCTACATATCCTGACCGTGAACCAATTTCAAAGTCAACTGTTGAAAGAACTGTTGGTCGTTTTCAAAGAACCGGTGTAATTAAAGATGCGCTTAGATCTGGAAGACCCAAAAATGCTAGTAATGACGAAAAAGCTTTAGATGTTCTGCTAACTGTATACGATAATCTCCATACATCAGTCTCGAGAGCAGCTCAAGAAAATGATATTAGCACAACATCAGTCCATCGAATTTTGAAGAAGCATCACTATCATCCTTAAAAAATACATCTAGTCCAGGAGCTATCCGAAGACGATTATGACAGAAGAGTGGAATTTTGCAACACAATGATGACACGACTTGCTGATAATCGTCTTATAGTTCGTTCTTATATCCAAGATCGTCTTAAGTGTGGTCTTGGGTCGTCTTAAGAACTCATTCAACCAATGAAATGGCCGCATAGCATCTTAAGACCGTACTTAAGACGATCTTGAATATAAGAACGGACTATGAATACCGGCCTATGTTTCAGCGGCTCGTAAAAATGCACCTTTATGGCCGATATTCATAGTCAGTTCTTATTTCAAAACCATCTTAAGTAATGTCTTAAGATGCTAAGGGTGACGTCCCATGGCGCGTATTGCGATATGCGCGTATCGGGCGTATCGAACTCTGCGACAAATCGCAGATGATCCGCTGTTTTCAGTACGCCGGAGTTTGGTTCCTACAGTCCCATGGAGCGGATTACACGGAAGCGGATCCAGCGGATCGCCAATCACGGAGTTGTTCCGATAGATCCCTTTCAAAGATTACGTCAAAGCAGTCCTGTGATTAGCGATCCGCTGAATCCGCATCCGCATAATCCGCTCCATGGGACTGTAGGAACCAAACTCTGGCGTACTGAACACGCGCAAACATGCACCTAAAAAGTAAAGTTTTCGCCAGTTGCTTGCAAATATTTAATAATGTAAAAAAAAAGTTAAAAGTTTGAAAATTGCTGTTAGTGTTTATAAAAGTTTAATAAAGAAAATTGTGAAAAATAGTTTGTAATAAATAGAGGTAAATAAAATATATTAAATTAGGTTACTGTATATATATTATCTCTTGAATGTTTATTTCCATTCCTATTGCACGTTATAAGTTTGTTCCAATAATCTCTTGTTCTTTTTCTAGCAGAAAAGAAGGGATTCCGAAACTGTGCTATTAGCTATTTTTTGTTTAGTGAAGCAATTTAAACGAAGTTACAGTATTTTTCGTCAAGAAAAATTGCGACGCAAAATATTCCAAATGTATGCACTGTACACAATTGTGGTAAACGAAGAACAATCTAAAAAAGAGCGACAATTTTGGGTGCGACCTATATTTACTTTATATCGGCGATTATTACAAGGAGCGAGTGACAATCTCGTAAAAGAAATGGAAATTGAAGACAAAAAAAAATTTGTCAATTATTTTCGAATGGATCCTATCATATTCCAAGAATCACTCAAATTAGTCGGCCCTTCCATCGTTAAACAATATGTAATTCGAGATACAATTCCTCCTGAAACGCGTTTGCATATTACTATCTCTCATTATTAATGTACGGCGAGTAATAAAATTATATACATATGTAATTTTGGTTACAGGCTCCGCCAAATAGCGGCTCGACGCATTACAATTATAAAGGATATCACAGCATCAATCTGTTGGCGATTAGCGATGCGAAATATCGCTTTACTATGGTTCCAATTCCTCCTGAAACGCGTCTGCATATTACGCTTCGATATTTGGCATCAGGAGACAGCATGGCATCGATCTCATATGCTTACCGAATTGGCAATAATACTGTGTCAAAAATAATATCAGAGACTTGCGAAGAAATATGGAATGCTTTGAAGGAGACAGTTTTTCTTCATGACAATCCAGAGAGTTGGCAAGAAATTGCTGACGAATTTGAGCGACTTTGGAACTATCCAAATTGTGTAGGATGTATCGATGGAAAGCACGTTACATTGCAGGTACATTGAAAGATGTTTTTTTATTATAAATTTTGGTAAAAATAACTTTAATACTACATATTTATTATATGACCAATTTACCAAAAAAGTGTTAGTCGAAGAATGTGGGTTCGTATTTATTGTGGAGTATCTCTCATTATTAATGTACGGCGAGTAATAAAATTATATACATATGTAATTTTGGTTACAGGCTCCGCCAAATAGCGGCTCGACGCATTACAATTATAAAGGATATCACAGCATCAATCTGTTGGCGATTAGCGATGCGAAATATCGCTTTACTATGGTTGACATCGGTGCTGAAGGTAGACAGAGTGATGGAGGAGTTTTTAGAAATAGTAATATGGGAAGATGTTTCGAAGAAGGTACATTGAAGTTGCCAAATGCTAAGCCTGTCGAAATTAATGGACCAGTACTGCCTTATGTGTTGCTAGCGGATGAAGCCTTTCCATTAACAGCATACATGATGAGACCGTATCCGCGAAGTAGCAAGCTGGATCTCAGGAAGAAAGTTTTTAATTATAGACTCAGTCGAGCAAGACGTGTTGTAGAGAGCGCTTTCGGGATTCTGGCAGCAAGATGGAGGATATATAGAAGACCCATAATTGCAAGAATTACAAATGCGAGAAAAATTGTTCAAGCAACAGTGGCACTTCACAACTTTATTATTACTAATAAGGAAAAATTGCTTTTCAAGAACACATATGCACATATAACTCCTGAAGATCGCAGCATGAATTCTCAAGGATTTAGCTCATTGCCACCTAGTATAGGCAGATTCAGTAACAGTGGCATCAAATTTCGAAATGCTTATTCAGAATTCTTTATAGGCACCGGTGCATTATCATTTCAGTGGGAGAAGGCAATGAATAATGACTTTTGATATGCTACTTATAATAATATAATACTTTTGTATACTTATATAAAAATTGCGTTTTATTATTGTAAATAATACATAATAGTTAATAAAAAAACTTTAACAAACTTTAACAGAAAAAAACTACTAATGGGAAGATAAATTTTGTTCCACTTCAAATAGTAGCGATAGGATTTTTATTTCAAACTGAGCTCTGTCACGTAATGGAAGGGCTCGTAATCTATCTCCTATTTGGAGCAAAAATCCATCGACCGGGTCTGGTTTTCTCTCACATCCACTTTCCAGGGCTGATAAAATAGCTTTTTTTATGTCTGAGGTATTGTCACAGGTTCTTGATCCTAAAAAATAATAAATAAAACATTATTAACATATTATTAGCATATAGATAATAGTTAAATAAAACTCATGATTTTTTTTTAAACCATCGAAAATTATTTATTTGATTTAAATAACATTTTTTAATTTGTTACTAAATTTCTATCTGGTATTTTAAGCACACGGTAAAATCATTTTTGGATTCGTGTTGGAATCTATCTACATTTAAAAAATATAAATTTTGTTAAATTTTGACGTACTCTAGTGTTAATTTTTAATTTTTGCCATGCAGGAATTATTGCACAAATAAGTAAAACTAACTTTTTCTTTGATGCTGATTCGGTGATGGAGAAGCACTCGTTATCCACGACTGCTCACTTATAATAGAAGTATTTGATGTATTTGATGTTTGAGGTATCATAACCTGTAGAGGCAATTGGTCCCTCTCATGACTCTCAATTGGTGATTCTATAGCAGATGATTCATCAGCACGCTCATCGAAACTTGTTTTATCCGGCAAACTAGTTATCTATTTCGTCAATTCGATCAAATTCATTTTCGTTTCTTGGGTATACAGAACACTCAAATCATATGTTTTAATTGGATGGTAATCTATGACATAAATTATGAACATACCTCCCAACAGTGATGCAAACTCTGCGGTTTCTGCCCGCTACCAGCGCATGTGGAAGGGGTAGCGCACACAAGGAACGAGTCCTCTTTTTCCTTACAAGCAATGGAAGAGCCAGAACGCAGTACAAGGCGAAACAAAATATTTCAAGCCCTCACTACACCATTCGATCAGTTATTAATCGAAGAATAAGATGTTTATTTCCTTTCAAATTTTGAAATGTTCCTTTAATTTAATTATACATTTTTTTACTATTTCATTTTATTTTTACATATTGATAGATAGCCGATACTCATCAAATTCAGTAGCAACCATCCTTTAATAATAATTTATCCATGTAAAAAAATTTAATCTGATATTTCAAAATTTACGAAAGTTACAATGCATACAGACATTTCTCAAAAAATTAAAAATTTTATAAAAAAAGCATCTTTCCATCGATTCTCACTAAATTCAATACCAACCATCCTTGAATGATACTCTATCCATGTAAAAAAAATTTAACCCGGTATCTCAAAAATTGCGGAAGTTAGAGGTTGTACAATATATTGCGTACATACATACATACACACATACATACATACATACAGACATTTTTTAGGAATATGATTTTTCCACGTTTTGGAACATTCTAAACCATTGGCATAGAAAACCCGAAAAAAATTTTGTCACGAAAACAAAGCTTCCTCTATGAGGAAGCAAAAAGAATAGATATAAAAGAATAGATACAAAAAAATAGATATAAAAAATATAGAGGAATATTAGAGGTCAAAATTGGAAAAAAGTATGCTTTATTTAATATAATATTGAAAATATAAAAATATTAAAAATATTTTCAACAATACAGCTAAATTATTACAGCTGTGCATAGCTGTAATAATACCATTAATAACTGGCAACTATAGTTATTAATTGAAATTAACAGAACAAATAAATAAACAAGTTAATATATATTATATATTATATAAATATAAATAATATAATAAAAACAACAATAGAGTATTATTAAAGGATGGTTGATACTGAATCTGGTGAGTATCGGTAAAAGGGTTTATTTTTTATAAAATTTTGAATTTTTTGGGGAATGTCTGTACACGCTGTAATATTCAGAAAATTTGAGATATCGGATTAAATTTTTTTACATGAATAGAGTATTATTAAAGGATGTTTGATATTGAATTTAGTGAGGATCGGTGAAAGAAATCATTTTAATTTTTATTTCGCTCACAAAGCTTCCTCTATGAGGAAGCAAAAATTGAAAAATCCGCATGCTTAAAGCAGCTTAATTTTTATATTTACTTTATGTCTATCCTTTCTTCTATCCTATGCTCTACCTGCATTCTTTGAAAATGTAAAAAAATATTTTTTTACATTTCTTCCTGACGGAAGAGATCACCACCTTCCTGCGGTTTCCGTTGAGCAACAACATGTACGTTGACTATTTATAAAAAAGATAAATAATAGAATAAATTATTTGGAACACGTGACATATAATTTAATTTTTTATTTAATTTTTTAACATCTACCCCCTCCACATGCGCTAGTAGCGGGCAGAAACCGCAGAGTTTGCATCACTGCCTCCCAACACATTAAGGACTTCTTTCCATAAAGCTTTTTTTCAAACTTGTTCTTTCTTTTACTGGAATTCGATGATCGTATAATCCTCGTCTTGCCTGGACTGCAGCAATGAGGCATTCATTATAATCCTCTGGATCACTGTTTATTTGACTCGTTGGCGATGATTGATCCTTTTGAACTGTTAAAAAGATTTATTTATTAGAACTGCTGAGTGTAGTATTGATAACAGATTTCAAATAATAGCGGGCTAGTAAGAGCCAGAACGCAGATGGTAGTGCATCAGTTTCATAGAAAAATAAGTTTTCTTGATTCAGCAACTTTGCCCCAATATTTTTCTCGCCTTCGTCTCTCCAGGAGGTAAAGAGGGGTTATTATAAATTTCGAATTGAGATTAATTTTAGAAATTTGTTAGTATAGCACCAAGCAAATTGATGTCACTCGAGAGCCTTAATTTCTTAAAATTATTGATAACAGAATTATTACAAATTGTGATTGCACTTGTTATTAGAATACTTACTAATCTTCGCAATGTTACAGTCGTTTATATGTAAAAACTGCGTATTTTCGTCAAAAGATTGGAAACATTTATGTTCCAATAAGCTTGTGCTCAGTAAGCTCCCAATGAGCCAGCCACAATATCCACTTTACAGGCTACAAACAAAATAAATGTAAAATAAATACAATAATATTTAATCTGCCTCATGCCGATACTCCTTTTCATAGCTGTCGAGTAATAAAATCTATAACTCAAATTGATTTGTGAACAAATTCTAACCTCATAATTATATGTTCTGATTTATATTCTTCGCTTCTTGCATGTATTAGATCTTACTTGAAAAGTGAAAATAATATTGTTATAAATACTTACAGGTGTATTTTCATTGTCCTCCATTCTTAAAATATGTATTTATATAATATATATTAGCTTATTTGATATTAGCTTTTCAGCTTCTCTTAGACACAGACACAAACATACATGCAACGATTACATGTGTGACTGTGCGATCCGCTCGAATTATGAACAGAGCTGCCAGTTCGTGGGAAATGGGAGCCCCCACCACTTACCGCGGGACTTACTAACACAGATGTAGTCGCTATGTCATAGCGTGTACGTGTAGCTTCGTGCGTCGGGGGCCCCCACGCACGAAGCTACACGTACACGCTATGACATAGCGACTACATCTGTGTTAGTAAGTCCCGCGGTAAGTGGTGGGGGCTCCCATTTCCCACGAACTGGCAGCTCTGATTTTGAATTCAGCGGATCGTCGGCGTATCAAAAACAGCGGATCGTCTGTGATTGGTCGCAGAGTTCGATACGCCCGATACGCGCGTATCGCAATACGCGCCATGGGACGGCACCCTAAAGCCCGTATCAGACTACGTATTGAAGATTGAAATTTGTCCAATCAGGATAAAAGAAACTAAAATTTCTTTGTCCTGATTGGTCAAATTTCAATCTCAATGCATAGATAGACATTCAGATTATCTTATCTTAATAACATTCAATTTTCAAATCATAAAGACGTCTAAAAGGAAACAAATTGAAAAATATCTTAAAAACATTTTTTAGTATATCTTTTACATATACATGTTTTTACCTGTCCTCGCGGACGAAATACTTTTTTTCTATAAACTTCAAATTATTTATTTATAAATTATAGATCAAATTGTCTGATCGGAATATACTATCAAGCAAAAGTGAACTAATCGTCTCGCGATTGTGATCCATTCCTAAACTTATTGACAAATGTTTGTTTCAAATACTCTGTTCGCAAGTATATATATCGTTTTGTGTTACACAAGTGTCTGTCTAACGTAAAATTTTTGCTTGCTTGTTGAACAAGGTACACTGTATGTATATCATTGTATTGTATATAAATGTATATCATTGTATTATTCGCACTATTATACTACATATTTATTTGTTTCAAGGATTGTCACAGAAATTACATAAATGATAACTGTACAAGACATAAAGTGTTGTTCGGGAGTCGACCTCGACGAGATCGCCCGATTATGTTCAAGATTGAAACGTTGAATTTAATCGATAAATTTAAACTGTAAATTCAACCGACAAATCTGAACGGTAAGAGCCGCAATCAAGACACGAGCGAGAATAAACATCGACGAGATTGCCCGAATCTTGAGAGAAACGCTCAGAAATGAGCGAGAAGCAATGTGTAGCGCGAATCCGAAGATTCGCTGGAGGAACAGGAGTTGAAAGATTACTCACGTGAGCGTAGTTTTAAGAACGTTTATTAGAACACACCGGGAGCGAGCCTCGACACGTGTTCCACGACTAAGATCGGAAATCTTCTGAATGTCCTTCGATGACCTGCCCTTCTCCGCGTTCGATGTTTATTCTCGCTCGTGTCTTGATTGCAGCTCTTACTGTTCAGATTTGTCGGTTGAATTTACAGTTTAAATTTATCGATTAAATTCAACGTTTCAATCTTGAACAAGTGTGAAGTAAAAAAAATTG